TATGTTTATGTTTCAGAAGAAAAAAAATGAGGCGAAGACGATGATGTGCTGGCATGCAATGGTTGGATGTTTTAAATTCTGCGCGCCCAATTATTAATGCGTTTAGTTTTTCCTTTTGTTTTTTATGCACTATAATATAGTAACTAATGCGTGGTAGCTCAGCTGGCAGGGACATACGCTATTGACCTTCATGACCTGGGTTCAAGTCCCAGGTCAGAACAATTTCCATAATGTTTTTCTATCTTAATTCCCATGCAGCGTTACTATAGGGGTACACCATGCACACTCAAAAATCAATTGGCCACGCGTCTTGGAGATCTAATCCAGGGATCAGGATGAAAGCATATCATGGATGCCAGTCAACAAGCCACATATGATCCAGAAAGTCAATGATTCACAATGCAAATGGGCCTTAATCTTCCAGGCCTGCACCTCCAAATTGGGGTTACCCCCCCCCCCCTGGTTTGCATGTTTTATATTTTTCTTCTTACCTTTATTTTTGCTATTTTATTTATTTTATTGTTTCAACATAATTAGTTTATTTTTACTATAAAATATAAAAAAAGCATTCAAAAAAAATCAGAAAAGTCAAAAATTTTAATAATTATTTTATTTTAAATATTGTTTTTTTTTTGTATAAATAATAACATGTAAAATGTTTAGTTTTAATTAAGTTTTCAACTTTAATTCCTTTTAATAAAAATCAAAAACAAAAACATAGAATTAGGTTAATGACTTTTTCCTTTTAACTTTCCTTGTTTTTTGCCATAGTATTAGTGTTTTTCATAATTAAACTAGGGTTGCATTTTAGGTTAGATTTTAATTCTTTTAATAACTAAAATCCAAAAAAATAGAGTTTAGGTTTAATAAATTTTTATTTTCTTTTTTTTAATAATAATATTATTTATTTATTTAATGCACATAAATTAATTTAGAATTAAATTAGGTTAAAAGTCAATATTTTCATAATAAACTTAAAAGACATTAGAACTAGGATTTTAATTTTAATTAACTTTTCTTCTTTTTTTTCTTTTAAATCTAAAAAACACAAAAATACCATTTTTCATTTAATTTTAATTTTAGATAACTTAATTATTTTAATTCTTTTAAAGGGTTCAACGCCCTCGCATTTGATTATTTTCTTTTTTTTTCGCGCGTTTCATTTATTTCTTTTGTAAATAATTATGTATATGTACCAAAGCCGTGTAATAGCTATTAGACATTTCTTTTCTGCAATTTATTTTAAAACGGGTCTGGATTAATTTGGCGTTGTAGACCCTCGCCTTTGTAATAGCGTAGGACTTTTATCTTTTCCGCACTTTAAATTCCCGCACATTTAACTGTTAAACAATAACATGAAAGAATGAATGCCCAAAAATAAAATCGAATCGTTAGATCACCAATGCATGACAAGACAAACAATAAACTGAAAATGACACACAATTCGCACACACCACCCCTAGGGTACGCCTCACTGTTGCCTTTCGAAAGGTGGTCGTCGAGTATAGGACGTTTTAGTAAGTCCTTATGTCCATGACATGATCCAGTTGCCTCGAAACGGTTGCCTCGGAAAATAAAGGATCAATGGCATAAGGGTAGCTTCTAAGGTGTCCTACTGTTGCTCTGGTGACCACCACGTCCCTAAAACTCGAATTGACCCGAACACCTCCAACGGTGGTGCTACCTACCTCTCAATGGTGGGATGGCACTACTTTAAAGGACATTTACACAGACGAATTCCTTAGGGTAGGTAGACGACTCATGGATACTTGCTCTCTTCAAAACAAACTGAAATCTTTTCACACCAACACTTTTCAAAAGCTTTCAAAGCAAATCTTTCAAACACTCTGACGTACGAGTCGAACTGAAATTTTTCAAAGAAACTTTTTTAAACCCACAATTGAAAAGCAAGCAAACATTTTTGAAAACACATTGAGCAAGTACCTAAGAGCCCATGGATAACCATGGATAGAAAGGGTGCTAATACCTTCCCTTTCTATAACCTACCTCCCGAACCCGAGAAACTATCTCATAAGGAATTTTTCTGCGCTTTTGTCCTTTCCAAATTGGAGAAAATAAAAGACGGTGGCGACTCTTGCTTCCGCGACATTGCGCGAACCAGCTTTAAAACAGTCAGTTCCAGATCCACCGATCACAACGGGAGATGGAGAAGGAGAGTGATAGTTTCTCCCCCGTCGGTCATCGCGATCCCACCGAGGGGAGGGGCTCTTTCGCTTTTGCTTTGGCTTGGGAGAGGGAAATCGAACGCGATCGATCTGCCTGTTGTCCTTTCTCCTCTTGAACGAAGGGGAGTCTTGATCTCAGGAAGGAGGTGTGCGATTGCGTTTCTTGAAGAAAGAAACGTCACGCCTTTCCTTTTTGGGTGGTGGACCATGCCTGGGTGGTGATGCACTGGGGGAACTTCGTCTTCGAGCTCTCCGGGGAGGAGATCTTGAACGTCTGTTTTCTAAGGCCCATATCCTCTGATTTTGTTGAAGGATGAGGGCGTTGGTCTGATTTAGGGCAGCGAGCAGTGCTGCCATGGCCGAATCAACGTTGACAGGGATATGGACCAATTGCAAGATTTCTGGGAGTTCCTCAGCAGGATTCTTGGAATGCCCTTCGTCCAAGAGTTGATCGTCACCATGTCGGGCATCAGCGGAATCAGGGGACGCAATTTGTCCGTCATGGGGGCCCAGGTTGTCCTCGAGGCGAGGGTGTTCCTGGCCTCCATCAGTCTTGCGAGCAGGGGAAATGATGGTCTTTCCGGACAGGTAGAGATCATTATAGTCGGCCATGATATGAGAGATGGATCTTGAAAGAATAGTTGCTTTGATCTTAGGTTCCGAGGGAAGAAAGATGAGGATAACAGTTTCCCACAGACGGTGCCACTGATCTTGCGGTTGATCAGAACCTGGAGAGTGGCCGGAGGATGATCTTCAGTCGGGCAGAGGAGAGAGGGGGTTGTACCTGCAAGGTACTCCAACGATCAAGTAAGAGTGGGAGCAAGGAGGTACTAGCAAAATATCAGGTAGTGAGTAGTGAATATGTGATACCTGGCCCTCACGGGTGTGAGGATTTATATACTGCCCCTGGCGCGTGGTCATTAGTTCCTGATTTTCCGCCTAGATATGCGAGTCCAGAAAATTAAGTAACTGCTAGGACTTGGTCAAACCTGACAGATGTGCCCGCAACTAGCCGTTGATTCCGGAGAGGAGGCTGATTGCAGACATCTCTCTGGTTGGTCCCTGATGGTCTGCACGACGCTGGAGTCGGGCGGACCGAGAAAGATGCATGACGAGCATCTCGGATCGGAGTCGGATTAAGAGGGCAAAAGGGTGGTATTGCCCGACAGAGGGTCACAGTCGTTGGATGACACCCATGAGATGTCTTAGGCTGGGCCCACTCAAACTTTTGGGCAAGTCCAGAACAGTAATAAATGTTACTTATATAATTAAGATATAATTAAATATTATTAACCGATTAAGTTATTTTGAATTCGATTAAAATTTAAATGTTTTAATTTAATTACAATTTTTTTAATTTTCAAACTAAAAATTATTTTTTTATGTTAGATTTTTTTATTTTCCAGAATTTTTTATTTTTTTTTAATTTTCTGAAAATATATTTTTTATTTTCTGAATTAATATTTTTTAAATATTTTTCCTTATTTTTCAGAAATAATTTTTTTGTTGAAAAATATATTTTTAAAATTTTCAAAAAAAAATCTTATTTTCTTGAATAATTTTTTTTTAGTATTTTCCAATTTTTTAATTGTAATTTATTTATTTATTTTTAGAAAAAATTATTCTTTTTAAAAAAAAAAAATAATAATCAATTTTAAAAAATAATTGAAATTTAAATTAAAAAATAATCTATTTTATTTCAAATGTATAAATAATTGATTTAATTTTTTTTTTTATAAAAAAATCATTTAAAACTGATTTAAGAAAACGGACTATATAATCATAACCAAAATGTAGTTATGATTATAAATTCAAACTATTTAAATGATTTAAAAATGATTATAATTTAATTTTTAAAAATAACCGATCATGCCCACACCAATAATTAAAAGTGACAATATTAAAGAATATATAAATAACAGTTAAAGTAGAAAAGATACTAGTAAAAAGGATAAATACTTTGGACAGGTAGAAAAAAAACTTGTAGGTTGGTAGTTAGATGAATAGTTCAAATAGAGGATGGGCAAGTCTCAATAGTAGAAGGAAATTAAAAGAACTAAAAAGAGAAAGAATTATAAAATGAGTTAAAAGATATTATATTGATGATGTAAAATAGTGCACTGTCATCTAAGGAAAAATCATCATTTAAACGTGTCATAAAATTTATTTAAAAATAACAATATGAATTGAGATAACATGTCATAAAATTTATTTAAAAATAACAATATGAATTGAGACTTAACATGATTGTAATTAATTGACACATATCCCTTTTTCTCTTATAAAATATCTCAAAACTAAAGAGTTAATAGAAATATAATTTTTTATACAACATTGTTGTGTAGGTTTGATCAATGTACAAATATTTTATTACATAGATATGGAAAGAAATTGTTTTATCATACGAATTGATCTAAAGTAAGACCTTTATGACTCTAATATTTCAAATAAGGTTCGACGTGGGAAAATTACTATTACTAAACCATATACACCTTTAAGTCAAAAAAATAAACCATAAGTTTTCATTAACAAAACAAAAAATCTGCAATTAAAGAACATGCTCCAACAAATTATAGATAATAACAAAAGATTTCTTTTAACATATCACAGCACATACATACTGATTGGTAACGGTATATAGAAAATGTTTAAATTTCCCAATGAATTTGTCTGCTATCACAGCTAATAATTCGTTTATTGTTAAAAAAGTAAAAACTGTTTTCCACTTCATGAAATGAATTCAAACGATTTGTCAGGAGGAAAGAAAAACAAACATCCAACCCAATACATCTGCAACTCAAAGCTGAACCATATTCACGGTTTGGTCGTGGATTCCCATGGTTGGTACCTGGTCCAGTTTCTCTGCCCTGGATTGAGAGCATGTCCCTTGGAATGATAGATAAACTCGTCACCTTCTCCAGACAAATTTTCTTTATGGTCAAGACCGTACCTTTTTGGTCTCAGTAAAAGAAGCTGCAACCAATTCATTGCAAATATTATGTTGGGGCTTCATATTTTCTTAGCATATGATATTATCAAGGTAACAATTAGGAAATAAACGAACTTACCTCATCACCGGTGTGATCAGTTATGAAGTGGAGCCAGCCATGCCATTCAGCAGGAACTTGAGAAGCATTGTACCTAGTCTTCTCTGCATATTCAACCCACCTGTGCCTTCCTGTCAAATTATATAACAGTAATGTGTTATGCATTATTACTTCTTCAAAGTTCCAATCTCCACATAATGTCGACCTAAGTTTGAATCGTGACAATACATCATAGAATATGGAAGATTTGACTGCTAAAAGTGAATCACACTACATACAGAAAAGTAAAGTGTTATAGCCATTGATTGGGAAATCAACAGGAAATGCACAATCTCATCTAGGAAATGCACAAAAAAGTTTTATGATTTTGTTTTTGTTTGACATATTTGCGGAGGAGACCTCTGTTGCCTCCCAAGGTTCCCTTTTTGGTGTCAAAGGCGTTGAGGTTTGGTATTTGGTAATTTACTCTCACTCAACTGTAGAGTTTTTTTACGTTACTTTGGATGATACTCAACTGTTTAAGCTCTGATTTCAATTTTTCCAACCCCTAAATCTAATGGCACCTTCAGACATGAAGAACTCAAATTCTTGTTTATAACTCAATTGTCAGTTGGATATGAAAAAAGTTTTAGGCTTGAGGTGCATGCACCATTCATCAGACCCCACAAACAACCTAGAGTAAAAAGGTTCAGTAGCTTCTGTTATCAAAAAGTACCCCATAACCTCGCCGTATGCTACATACACAATTTTCTCAAATGAATTGCAATATTTTATAGAGATATTTTGGCTATATGCTTTAACTAATTGCATAAATAGATAAATATGGAGAAATTGTTTACATCTCTATCTTTCTTGACCAGATAGTAATTAATGTGTTTTGATACTGATTGCTAAATTGTCAAGTTATAGTGTAAAACTTGGGAGAAAAGAATAACAAAATGTGTGTTGAATATTTGGATTTCTAGAATTTTTAACAGCTTCATATATAGCTGTTCTTATCCTGCACTAATCTGAGACTATCCCACACAAACTGTGTCAGATACATTTGTTACTACCAATGACAGCTGGCACAAACAACTAATATAACCATTACATATATTCTCATACATAGAAGTAACTCAAACAGTTGCATTAGACATTTATTCGCTTACTGTATACTCCATACAGAAACTGTTCCGAGGTAGTAAATAGAAAGAAAAATGCTATTTGGCACGACGACAATTTCGTTGAAATCACACGAATGAAATGATTGCTGATGTGGATTTCAATTTTGAGCCAAAACACAATGTCTCAAACCACATTGTTATGGCAACAGTTCCTCGTGTGATGTCTCTCCCTTATCAAACCATTGTGATGCAACCTTTTGTATTAATCATTCTCCATGCTCTATCTCTTTTCCGCATCAGTAAAATCTATTGTAGTTAGCAACCACATCTTCTTCCTCTTGTTCTCAACTTTTTATCATTCATGGATGGTCGTCCTCTTCCTCTTTCGGTGAGTTGCAGTTTCGCACAAGGTTTTAAAAAACGGTCAGAGTGAAAAGAATAATAGAGGCTACTTTCAAGAAAATTTGATTCCTAAGTAATTTGTGTTTTCTTTAAAATTGATTTCCTAAAAGTAGCATCTGACATTCTTGTCATTGTAAAGTCTGTAACTTAATTATTAATAGTTTTAATGCAAATTTGTCTCAGTCGTGGACCGTTTTTAAAAACCTTCTGCGAAACTGCAACTCAGCGAAGGAGGAAAATGACGATCATCCATGAATGAAAAAAGTTGAAAACAAAAGCAAGAAGATGCAGTTGCTAACTACAATAGATTTTACGAATGCGAAAGAGAGAGCATGGAGGATGACTAAGACAGAAGGTTGCACCACAATGTTTTGATAAGGGAGAGACATCACACGAGAAACTATAGCTATGATAATGTGGTGGCACATTGTGTTTTGGCTCAAAATTGAAATCCCCTCAGCAATCATATCATTTGTATGATTTCAATGAAATTGTCGTTGTGCCAAATAGCATTTTTCAAATAGAAAACAGGGATAATTCCCTCAATTACAGAACTACGGTCGCAAACTGTTTTTTAAAACCCTGTGCGAGACTGCAACTCACCGAAGGAGGAAGAGGACGATCATCCATGATTCATGAATAATAAAAAGTAGAGAACGAGAGGAAGAAGATGTGGTTGCTAAATACAATAGATTTTACTGATGCAAGAGAGAGAGAGAAAGGCAGAAGATTGCACCGCAATGTTTTGATAAGTAGAGACATCATACGAGGAACTGTAGCTATGATAATGTGGTGGCACATTGTGTTTTGCCTCAAAAGTGAAATCCACCTCAGCAATCATATCATTTGTATGATTTCAATGAAATTGTCGTCGTGCCAAATAGCATTTTTCAAATAGAAAATAAGGATAATTCCCTCGATTACAGAACTAGAACATCGTAGAACTTTGAGGGTCTACAAACCCTCCAATCACCTAAATACAACAATTCTCTCAAATGACTAGTTGATTCAATCTATTCCCTCTTACTAGTATTTATAAACATCACAGCCTGACCTAACTAACTTAAGGGTTTACCAATCATGTTCACCATGCCATAATGAGATAGCAATGAGTAATATGCATAATTCTTTATGTTAACGGATGCCATCAAAGTGACCTTTGCATGTCTTGGGTTCAAGCAACTAGCTGAATTTAGCCATATCTGTTTATCAGACTAAGGTAACCTGACACACACATACAAATAGAGCCAGAGAGAGAAGGGCACTGACCATACTGTGTGTTTTCAGTTTTCTCGTAATACTTGTTACCATATTTATCAACACCAACAAGTGTTGCCCCAATATTGTGGATCTTGGTTTGCCTGCAAATATTCAGAAATAAATTAGAGTGGAAGATGAGAAATACAGTATCGCAAGGGAATTCAAATCTCATAGTAAAAAGCAAATAAACAACAGAGATATTTCACTATCAAAAGCAGAACCCTTCAGCAACTTTACAGAAACAATGTCTCTATTCAACGGCTTGTGGCTGGCAGCTACATATGAAATCTAAATCTAATTCCGATGAACCACAGTCTTTTACTCAACTCAAACTAAGGTATGGTTGGATGGAGTATTTCATGCAGAAATGAAGGAAGGACACAATTCTCATTTGAAAGGAATATTATTAAATCAAGTTTAATAATTTTTAAGAATGAAAAGGGTAAAAGAATATACTATCATCGTCAAAAATCCATATCTTATCCCAATCATTCATCCAAAAAATTATATAACTCAATTAAAAATGAAAATGTTACCCTCCTATTCAATTTCTTCAAAAACCCTCCATAAAAATAGAGAATATTGTCTTTATCCTTAGCAATTTACAATCAAAACATCTAATATAGCCATTAGAAGAAACAAAACTTCATGCATTCTCATCATTCTTAAATTTCTACTTGAATACACACAAAGGAGAAAAAAGAACAAAAATATAAAAATGGACTCACAATAGGTTTCCATCAGGAAGGCATCTCCTGAAAAATTCAAAAGGAAAACGAAAAACAACATTAGCAAATCGAATCAATGAACCCTAATAATTCGCAGCAAATTAATTAAATCAAATTGTGAAATTGAGAAGGAAAAGGGAGAAACCGGTATCCTTCATCCTTGAGGTATCTGAAGAAGCCGCCGAGACCCTTCTCCCTCACCGTGCTTATGATGCTCTTCACCACCGACGACGCCATGATCTCACCGCCGAGTTCGCTTCGCTTTATGTCGTTTGTATGTAAGGCTGCGTTTGGTAATTTGGTAATGAAATGCCCAAGACAATTTATTTTCTTACTCAAATTTTTAATTTTTTAATTAAAGATTTAATTCATGTTTTTGTTTTTTAGTTTAATTTAATCCTCGGGTTTAATCTCTTAACTAAAAAGTTTTATAAGTTAATTCATTAATAGCTCCATTTTTATTATTCAGATTTTTTTTAAATAATCATATATCTTTTTAAAAAAATTTAAATAATCACTTTTTCAAAAAATTTATTAAACTGATCACTTTTCAAACAAATTTTTTTTGTCACACAGAGGAGTAAAGAGGAGGCGCCACACTGCGTGACTTATCATCCTCTGTAAAGCCATGCAGTGTGGCGCATGCATGTATTTGGAGAGAGGAGACGCCATCTTTCTTGGTTTGACATTGTTATATAGTTTTCTATAAATGCAATCACCCATCCTCTTCATTTTTTCACACCATTTGTTACATAACTCTTAGAAAATGTCTTCAACTCCATTGCCAAAGTTTTCACTGATCAAAAGAGATGTGCATGTTATTTTTTCGGCGACAAAGCCTCCGGTGAAGATCAAACTCTGAAACACGCGGACGTTCGAGCAATTTCAGAGGCACTTGATTCGCTGGTTGGAAGGAGACATTCCTGAAGGTGGACAGATCAGAAAAATAAAAATGCACATTACAATGAGGAACGAAAATGGAGTAAGCCGATCATGGAAAAATGTGAGATACGACGTTGATGTCATGATGATGATGCTTGGACCAGACGATATTGTTTTGATGGTTTTTATCTCTTAGATATTATGATTTGTTTAGTTGTTTTGTCTGTTTATCATGTTGTTGTGTTGTTGTCCTGAGTTAGTGGTGTTGTATTTTTTTGTGTCATCGTGTGAAGGTTGTTGTAATTGAATGATAAATTGAACACAAAATGATAACCCAGATTTAAATTGAAATATATTGCGTACGACAAATTAAACACTCCGGAAAGTTTGCTATAAAAAAGTTAGCTTGCAGAGATAGACCCAATATCGGACAATTTTTCCGATTGTGTCCGAGAAGATGACATGTACTACATAATCTTATCATTTTGTTGGCCATATCCATTTCAGTTCTAATACGAGTGCTTTTTGGGCGCCCATTTTTCTTATGTCGCATTTGTTCATTGTGTCAAACAATGTCCCCTTGATAAGCAGACTAATAATCCTCCTTTGCCAACACGGAGAAGGTATTGATGTACACACTTAAAACGCTCTTTACTGTGTACACGGGGAATATATGTTGTATTGGGTCCAAGCGAACATGTGAACATGTCGTTATGACATGAGAGCAAGGCATGCGAAATGCTTGAAACTTTCTGCAATCACACCAACCTCTATCTAGTTCGACCCGATAATATCCCCTTGGTCTCCTCTCATTATGATCCATTGTCTCTTGTACACTGAACAATCCTTTAATATGGTCAAATACAGTGACATTATGGGTGTTTGCTTTCACAGCCTCCTCGTTAAATGTTTTCATTGTGCATTCACTGAACAACTGCCCTGATTGTAACATTGTCCTCCATTTTGAACTTCTTGTGTCAAACAATGACCCTATCCTGAAATATGTTGCTCTAACTAAAGCAGTAATTGGTAGGTTTCATATGCCTTTGAATACAGAGTTCAATGATTCCACCAAATTTGTTTTCATGTGGCCCTATCGTTGACCATTGTCAAATGCCCGAGTTCACTTCTCCATTGGAATATTATCGATCCACCTTAATGCTTCTGAGTTTGGAAACCAGATTTCTTTGTGATAGTGTCAGAATGATGGTTCTGTTAAGGCATACCCTGCATTAATAACTTTCTTTCAAAGTGTCTTGTCTTTGATATGAAGAATGAAGTTTTGTGTGATATGCCTAATGCAATAGACATGTGTTGAAGGGGGATCCTATCGACCGTTATCAAGGTTATTGTATGCACTCACAATCAATGTCTGTCTGTCTGAAATCAAACAAAGATTGGGTTGAGGAGCAACGTGTAATTGGAGATTCTTGAGAAAGAAATTCCATGCACCACCTGTCTCACCTTCAACTAGAGCGAAGGCAAACAGAAAAACATTATTGTTCCCATATTGTGCCACTGCCATGAGTAATGTTCCTTTATACTTCCCGTATAACCAAGTTTCATTAATCTGTATAATAGGTTTGCAAAATGCAAAACCCTTGATGCATGGTTGAAACGCCCAGAATAATCAATGAAATATTCCATTTCCACTAACACGAGTTCTGTCTGGTAAAATATCATGTATTTACCCTTGTTAAGACAATTTGATAAAATAAACACATATAGTTAAGGTTCTACTATTTTGGCCCATCTGTATAGTTCCTTGTGTAAAAATGCATCAAACGGTAGTTGTTCTTTCTATTCCTGCACCTTTTTGCTTCAGACATGGTGCTGGTCAAGAATGCTGACACTCGCCCCCTGCAACACAAGGTCATTTGTCTTTCCCTTTGATACAAAGTAAGATTACGAAACCATAAATTTTACATACTATATACTGTAACCAACATGTATTAATTTATTACCCATTTTCTATGTAGGTGGCATGTTCCTGAGATAAATTACAACAAATCCCCTAGAAATGCAATAGTAGTCTACTGAAATCTTATTGATCATGTTGGACCCGAAGAGGTATTAAATTTACATATTTTATACAACGAATTCAATAGGTTAATTAAGTTTAATATTTTATATAACTTTGTTTCCTCTACAATTTGTATGGAGGCCGTATAAGGATCTCGACCATGAGATTAACCCAGCTGATGTTGAATTCTGGACTGCAAAAACATCACTCATCAGATTCACTATTATGGAGATGCACCACAGTGATCGTGTGAAGCTACAGTTCAACATGCAACAGGGTATCCCCGACCCCCCAACATGTTTGGGATAATGGCATTTACTCAGAGTTGACGACCAATGGGGATTTAACGATTTGAGAGACTTCGCTAAAAATCAATGTCGTTAATGGAGGAATAAACGTGAATTGGTCCTAAGGGAGCCTATCTTGCAATATGACTTAAAACTGACGCTCCAATATTTGAGATGGTACACATTGGTTCCAACAAATTTGTTTCTGTCTTAAGAGACATATTTAATCGACCCACGCTAAAGAGCTGTAACATACACCCAACAACCAACCCCTCAACAATACCAAACCCAACAACCAACCCCTCAACAGTACCAAACCCACCCACAATGTCAACCCACTCAAACCCAATAACCATACACCACCTCATTCAACCAAACTCGTCATCAATTCATGCCACACGCAAAAACACAATACCAAGAGCATGACCCGACCCACCACTGACAATATGCACCATCCTCATCCTACCACAACACCCAAAACACATATGATACATCTCCTTCCTACCATACCACCCAACCTACATACAGTCAAATATCACACCATCTAAGTACCCAACCATCATATGGATTTCATACACCACAAGAAAAGTTGCTTCGTTTCCATCATGATTCAACATCCCAATACTATCAACCACCCCACCCACACATATCCCAACCAACAAGACCAAACTTCAACAACATGGGCACCGATCTCTTTGGAAGCACATCACAGTGGGGCGAAATGATCAATGAGATGTATGATCCTGATGTACCAGGATCATCACATCAAGCACCTTATAATCAAGCAAGTCAGAACAAACGCCAAACACCTCAGGAAAATTAACAGAGAGGAGTGAGACAAGGGGTAAGGCAAAGGTGGGACCGTTTATGTCATACTGGGACCCGTTTAGGTTGAGGGGACATCCAAAAAAATGTATCCACACGTTGTGTAATATAAAATATTTTTAGTTACTTTTATTTTATTTTAAAAAATTAATAAATAACACTGTCAAGTCAAGAAAGATGGCGCCTCCTCTCTGCAAATACATGCACGCGCCACACTACATGGCTTTACAGAGGAGGACAATCCATGCATTGTGACGCCTCCTCTTTAAAATGCATGCATGCGCCATACAGAGTGGCTACTCCTCTATGTGGTGAATTTTTTTATTTGAAAAGTGGTCAGTTTGGTAAATTTTTTAAAAAAGTGGTTATTTGGGATTTTTTTTTTTTGAAAAATATGGTTATTTGAAAAAAATTCTCATTATCCTATTTGATTCGTTCCGTCAAATTCTAAAGAAAAAAAATTAACATAATACTTATTTTTATGGAAGACTGCGTGATTTTCTGTCAATAAGAGACATTCAACATATTGCTAGATAATTTGAATGAGTGAAGAATGTAAGTATTAATAAGGTAGTATGTAGATTGTGGATATTATATTAAAACAATGGATGAATTACCTTGTGTTTTGAACTTCTAACTCTTCAAATAGAAGGTAATTCTATTTTATTGAATATATTTCGCTTATTTTTTTAAGGAAGTTAAATTTGGATACAAATGAGTTTTTTGATGAAGAAATAGGAACACAATTAGACTTTACTTAGGAATGAGAAACATTGGTGAAATCTTTTAACTCCTCAAATATTTTTGGTCATAAGGTGTTGAAGACAAATGATGTGTGCATTTGTATTTTTTTATATAACATGTGTCTATCACTTGACAAATTTATTTATTATTGATACGTTGAAAACAACTGATGTTTTTTATTTAATTTGTTACAGGACCGACTGTTGCTAAAAGTGCCCACCCACAGGGGAAGTAGAAGACTTACTTAGATGCCCCGATGTCACGGGAGGTCAAGGCGTTTGTCAAAAGTGTAGTCATTTCAATGGTGAGTTATTAATTGGTGATGCTTGATGCTCAACTATTGACAACCTTTATTGAGCGATGACATAGGGAGACATCTTCCTTCCATCTTCTATTTAAAGAGATGACGATTATCTTGAATGATGTCTCCTCTCTGTTCCATCTTCCCCTGGCAAGTAATTTCTTCACCACTTCTC